ACTTCAAGATACCGCCTTCACTTCCAGCCGCCGGGCCAAGAGTTTCCCGACGTTTCCACGGGGAGCGAGCCGTTGCCTCGCCTCGCCGCAGGCCGTTTGGGATTTTGGGCGTCGTGGAGTCGTGGAGCTGAGGCGCGGGCATCAGCAGCTGCAGCTTCGAGGGCCAGTGGCCACGGGCTCTGGCTCTCTTGTCCGTGTTCGATGCGCGGCAAGTCGAAGGCGAGGCCAACGAGACCAAGTTGCTGCGATGGGAAGGGAATGAAACCGAGATTTTCCGGGCTTTTGGGAATGAACCTAGGGTTTCTTCCTCAAGGGAAACCACAGGGGATTTTTTTTATAGGCTATTTATAGGGGGTCGTTCCCTGCTGAGCAGCAAGTCAACGCATGCGATCCAGACCCGCTGGTCCGTGCCGCTTGCGTAGCTTCGTGCAGGCAACATCGTGGCGTGTGGTGCGGCGATCGGCGCCTGTGAGAGGGGGAAGGAGTGGAGATGCGCGCTCTCCTTTCTGCCAGCCTCTGAAGAGCGGCGACTGCAGAACAACGCGACTCTTGGATGCAGAAGTTGCTTGAAGTTGCTTGACACATGTCTTATGTCTTGAGGATGTCGTCTTGAGGATGTCGCAACCATGTGATTGTCGTCTGGAAATTTGGAGTCTAAGGATCGCCTACAGCTCCGTGATCAGTGCTTGCAGCCACCAGCATTGGCCAGCTTCCTTGCAGACCCTCCACGAAGCCCAGCGAGAGCCGGGCCAGGCGAACCTCGTGGTCTTCAACGCGGCCATCAGCGCCTGCGAGCGGGGCAACGCGTCTTGGGCCGTCGCAACTGGTGGGGGAAGAAAAAAAACCAAAGCCCGGTTAGCCCCCAGTGCACATCCCAACAACACTAAAATATTTGGGTTCTGAAATGGGTGAATTCACCTACCAACCAAAATGGTACCATGGGTTTGAGCCACAGCAGACTGATGCACTTGGAACGAGGAGTGGCAGCCGGCTCTTGGGTTATTGAGACACCTTGATGACTGCCAGCTGCAAGTGGACGTGATCACTTGCAACGCCTCGTGGCTGGTTTGACATGTGCAGACCTTTGCTGCGCGGTAGCACTGAACCATTGTTGCCATCGAATAATCTCTGCCCGAAGAAGCAAAGTAGTTCACACACACACAAAGAGTCATACCCGCGCGCACTGGATCTTTCCGCATTCTTCTGGGGGATGCTTCTTCACTGAGAACACAGGTAGTTGTGTACATGCACCTCTTCATTGAGACCACAGGAAGTCCTTGTGTACACGCACCCCCACATCCAATGATCACTTGCGGGCCCAAGACGAGCCCGCGGGATTCGCTTGAGGCTGCCATGAGCTCCTGCGAAAAAGCTCGACAGTGGCAGCGGTCCCTTTGCCTGTTGGCGGAATTGCAGGACGGGGCGACGGGGCTGGGCGGAATTGCTTTCCTTGCAGAAGAAGCGATACCGCAATAGTATGAGGTTCGGTCAAAATTTGGGTGGCAGTCTGTGAGTAGCACTGGGCCGGCGGCGGGCTGTGTGAGTAGCACTGGGCCGAGCCTAGCGGTAGTGCCGTTTCGACCCATTTGGTGGGCAAGTTTGCTATTGCCTGAGTTTGCCTGGATCCACAGGGCAGGGGGTTGCAGCAAATGTCTGCAACGGACATCGGATGCCACTCAGGGACTGCTAGAGAAATGCGTCTTACGGTGGATGGTGCTGATACTTGCTTTGAGGTGGCTACAGTCGCCCAGCGTGTAGTTCAGTCGGTCCAGCTGCTTCTGCAGTGTTACAGGTGGCTGGAATATGCTCAGCAAGTGCGCGCAAAGGCTCTGGCAGCTGGCTTGCCATGTGGAGCTCACTAACGTGGTTCGCAATCTTGATGAGCAGCGCAGCGCTTTCCTGTGCTGACAGCAAATCAGCTGAAAAGTGGAAAAGAGAGAGTTGGCGCTCCACATCGGCATGGATGCAGTTCTTTCCTCCCAGAAGCAAACCAGGGTGGAGGTTTCTGAAGAGGGGAGCATCGAAAGATGTTGTGTTGGGCGCAAGGTGATCAGGATGTGGACTAGCTGGCAACCAGCTGTATGCGACGGGGTCTGTCAGCAGACTCCGGTGGTGTCACGAAGTGAGTGAAGCTCATTATGGCGGGTGAGGCTCGCGGGTGCAGATTGCACAGACGAGCCGAGTGATGCGCTCTCGTTGTTGGTCGCTCCATGTGCGTATGGCCCCCGACTTTGGCGGCAGTGCAACGCATGAAGTAAAGGCGGAACCCAAAAAGCCCAATTGGGGCAGTTCTGGCTTGCAAGTCTCAATTGTGTAAAGGGTAGTCCTGAAGTTCTACTGCGAAAGGCTTCCCTGGCGAAGGGAACGCGAAAGGAACATACTGTTGGTGGCTTTCGCGCCCACGAACTTCGCGGATTCCGCCGGCGGACTCCGCGCAACTGCGACAGGAACGCGAAAGGGCGCTCTCCCAAAGTGGGGCCAGCAGTTCACCGTGCGGCTCAACTGCTTCTCAAAAAACGAAATAGAAAACCGTTGCTCGAAAGCGAGCTTTTCAAGATGGATTTGGCCCTGCGAAACGAACACTGAGGGCCGCAAAAAGGCGGCAAGAGGCGAAGGGAAGTGTCCAGCCAACCTTATTTTTTTTCCAAAAGCCCCCCTATTTGAGGGGCATGCGGGGGCCCACCCATTTTCCCCATGTGGTCTTGGGGAAGCAAGTGGTTTTGACCGTGGCTGATCTAGTTTGATCACTGGCATGGTTCGGGCATCTCGAAACATAGGCCAGGGCAAATAAAGAGTATAGAGGAGAAACCAAGACGGGATGCCCGCCCAAAACTCCTGATCCCCCAAATGCGCTGATTTTCCATGGGTTTCCTTATGTAACCACCACCAATTTTGCGACATGCCGCATGAATGCGTGGCTGTCCAGACTTTGAGATGACTGCAACCTTGCAAGTCGAGTCACATACACAGACCAAGTTGCCACGTCGTGGGTTTGAGGAGCGACGTTTGCGCAGCAGTGTTGTGAGCTACAACGCCGCCATCAGCGCCTGCGGTGGGCGGTGGCAATGGGCCGTGCACTTGTTGCGGAGCCTGTTGGAACAAGGCGGGAGAAGCCGCAACCGCTTTGGGCATCAGACAAGTCCCTCCTTCTTCCTTCCTGCCGTCACTTTTTTGGAGAATGTAATTTTCTCGAAAGAACCAACATGTTCTGACCCCGGGATCCTTTGCATGATTTTTGGTCAGGTTTGCAAGCTACGGTGGTTACTTTCAACGCCGCCATCAGCGGCTGCGAACGTGGAGATCAATGGCAACTGGCATTGGAGCTGCTGGCAGAGATTCAGAGCAGGTCTTTGCAGCGCAGCCAGATTTCCTTTAACGCTGCCATCAGTGCTTGTGAGCGCGGAGAACAGTGGGAGTGGGCGCTGCGATTGCTGCAAGAGTCACATTCAGCACGTCTTTCGGATTCCATCACGTATAATGCTGCCATCAGTGCCTGCGAGAAAGGTCAGCAGTGGCAGTGCGCCATGCAACTGTTGGAAGATTTGGCGATGCGGCGCTTGCCAAGAAGCATTGTGACTTTCGGTGCTGCCATCAGCGCGTGCGAGAAGGGCAGCCAGTGGCAACAAGCCCTCGCTTTGTTGCAAGGAGCGCGCAGCAAAGCCTTGCGTGGCAATGTGATTGTCTACAGTGCCGCGATCAGTGCATGTGGCCGAGCACGGCAGTGGCAGCAAGCCTTGCGTCTCTTTGCAGAAGTCCAAGAGGTGAACATCGAGCTCAACGTCATCACCTACGATGCAGCCATCAGCTCCTGTGAGAAGGGGGACCAATGGCAACTTGCGCTTGAGCTCCTCGCAGACTTACAAGACCAATGCCTGGAGAGAACTGCCTGCGCCTACAATGCCTCCATTGCGTGCGCAGAGTGGCAACATGCCTTTTCCTTGATGGAGGAGCTGCAATCAATTCCGCTCCAGCGGAATGTCGTCACCCACGGTGCTGCGATTCGTGCTTGTGAGCAGGGCAGTCAGTGGCAGCAAGTATTTCCATTGCTTGATCGCCTCGAGATTGCTCGCATAGCAGGAGATGAGATGATCTGTACTTCGGCCATCGGAGCCTGTGAGAAAGGCCATCTGCAAACAGAAACTGTGAAGGGAGTGTGCGTGTGTGTTTTCCCGCCCGATTCAGTTTGTTTGAGCCCGCTTCCCTGATTCCCTCCATGAGTTTCTTTTTTGCGCCAGGCGCTGCATGGCAGTATGCCCTCTGCCTGCTCATGCAGTTCCAGCTGCGGCGATTGGCGGATGCTGTCATTTACGCTGCTGCCATCTGCGCTTGCGCCAAGAGCGACCGGTGGCAAGCGTCTGTGATGTTATTGGTGGAGATGCAGCACCGCCAGTTGCCCAGGAACCTTGAATGAAATTCGTCAGATGTCCTTCTCCAGTGTTCATTTGCATCTCAGAAGAAGTGAAACCCAGAAGAAGTGAAACCCAGTCCTGCTTTTGGCCAAAAGGTCAGATGTCCTTGATTCATACCCTGCGCCATACCCCGAAGCCCAACTTTGCTCAGCTCGGAAATGGATGTTGAGGAGCACGGCCACCCGCGCGACCGTCATCAGCGCTTGTGAGCGAGCCGGTGCGTCGGTGCGGGGTTGCTGGATGGATCAAAAGGCGACGCAGCGTTGCTTCAGGGGGTTGAGGCTGAGAACATGGCTGCCTCAAAATGAAACACGAGGGGCAAACCGCAGGTTTTGGCCTTTGTTTCCACTTGCCAGGGATCCATTTTGGATTTCCGGTTTTTTGAGCAGCCACATGAGAAGTTCATGGCCAGCTTTTCCTTTGAGACCGGACGTCCGGGGGATATTTCTGTTGCAATACGCAGCTTTTGGGCCCAGCCGCTGGCATATTGGGGCGGCCAAAGAGTCGGAAGGAAGGATCTAGAGCGATGAGCCGCGGTTGAGGGAGCGATTTTCAGGCCGCGTGCGGTGTCTCAGCTCTATGTTTTTGTCCATGTCTCTCTGGCTCGCTCTGCTGGCGGGGAGTTCCGGTGCCGAGCTGAGCGCTCATTTCAGCCCTCCGGTGAACCGGAGCTGGAACTTGTGGACCTCGGGCCGCGAGAGGCAGCAGCTGGAGTGGCAGGAGCTCACGCTGCCGCCCGGAGACGACGGCAGCGTCACTGGGCTGACAGGGGGTTTACTGCGACTGGGGCCCAACAAGGAGCTGCCCACGCACTACCATCCCGAGTCTTTTGGAGAGACCTACTACTTCACCAGAGGCAATGGGCACGTGAAGCTTGGTGAGTACACTCGCCACGAGGTGGCTGTGGTTGTGGGATCCCATTTTGGGGTAGGTGAATTCACCATCCATTTTAGAACCTGTTTTGGTGGGGGTTGGGATGTTCACTGGGGGTACGATTTGGATTTTGACCCATGGCCAGGTGAGGCATGCCATCTCGCCGGGGCTTCATGTCAATATTCCTGCCCGCATGCTGCATGGCATTGAGTCTGGCAGTGAAGGCTGCGAGTTCCTTTGGATGTTTCCAGCCACTCGATGGAAGGATCCACAGCTGCATTGGGGCCGGGGAAGGCTGGGGAAGACTGGGAAGGCTTGGATGGGGGATGCTTTTTGGGAGAAGCTTTTCGGAAGACTTCATGACTTACCAGAAATGGAATTTGCTATCTGCTAGTCCCCGCTTCTTTGCTCAACTCGGAATATTGAAGCTAGATTTCTGCCAGCTCAGGACATCCCATATCTCTATGTTGACCCCGCTGTGCCTCAGAGGAACGTGCCCGCAAGCTACGCGGCTCCTCTCCCTCTAGGAGTCAGCGACTGGAACGAGATCCATTTCCGAGAGGACCTGTAGAGCAACTCAGCCTGCGGGCGCTGAGATCCAAATCGATGGCCGACTTGAAGGTCTTGTGGTGCCGAAGCGTAGATTCCCAGATGGCCATGGGCTTTTCCAAATCCAAATCGGTTAGCCCCCAGTGAACATCCCATTCCCCACTAAAACAGGTTCTAAAATAGCGTGAAGTTGGTGGTGAATTCACCTACCCCAAAATGGTACCATCGGTGTTGACCCACTGCCAGATGAGCACGCGAGTTGCAAAAGCGGCACGGGAAGGGGAGCTTGGAGGGTGGCAGATGCCGGCGAGGAACGCAGACTTGGGGATGTGTTTCGTAAGCTTGGGCCCCCCAACAGTGGCGCAACGGTTTTCCCTTTTGGTTCCCTTTAAGACAGCCGAAGAGTGGGTGCCAACTCCCCAAAAAACCGGCGAGCCGCCAAGGCTGGCAGAGTGCCTTGGATCTGCTGCTCGACGCGCCGGTGGCCCAGCCGCGAGAGTCGCCAGAAATTGGTTTGGGGCGGGCCTCTTGGTTCATCTCATGGCTGTGGGTCGAAAAAAAGTGATAACCCAAAAATGGGTTGCCCTGGTGGGTGGAACCAAAGCCTAACACCTGCGGTCCCTGGCTTCATGTTGACCCACATGTGCCATGGTCAAAAGACCCCCTTTACTTGGGCTTAAGAGGGATAGGCATCCGCCTGGTAGGGATCCTTACCAGCACCAGGATTCCCATGGGAGCCACGACCATAGGCCACAGGAGTTTCGACCATGGCTTACACGGTTTTGGTGCGGTCCACTTGGAATGACCAGCTGGAGCTGCAGCCTGTGAACCGGAGGCGGCACCGCTCGGTGCGCTGCGCTGTGCACCAGACTGTGGGCAATTTGGCGGAGGAGGCGGGGACGGGACTGGCCACTTGGATCAAGTGAAGAAGTGGTTACCCACCTGGGAAAAGAACCCACCAATGACAGGGGTAGCTCCACTTAAGAAGTGGGTTATCATCTAAACAACTTACCAGCTTGGATGAACACCCAAATGGCTGGTGGATTGTTGGCTCGCCAAGTTGACGTGTGGTACTTGGTTCTGGCTCGTTTGGCTGATGGGTTCAGTAAGTTGCTCAGTTGGCTTGAAGCTGTTCATAGCATGCTGGTCGTGCTTGTCGCACCTACAGCTGTTTCCATGAGTCATCTTTGTCAATGTTGAAGTACGCAGTGCTTGGAACATGACTTCCTCAAGCAATCCATCCCATCCCATCCCATCCCATCCCATCCCATCCCATCCCATCCCATCCCATCCCATCCCATCCCATCCCATCCCATCCCATCCCATCCCATCCCATCCTGCTTGAAGCATGGCTCTGGGCTTACCATTTGTGTACCGGGTTTTGAGCAAGTGACTCATATGTTGACATGGCACAGTTGCTTTGGCCACACCAGCCATGTGGTTCTCCGAGTCGACCGGCCACGTTTCACACGGTTCACCTTGGGGCCCCAAGGGCCCCTTGGGGCCTCGGGATCAGGCGCGGCGAGGAGCAGAGGCGCTGCGGCCCTTCTGGGACGTGGCACCCAGCCGGAGGCGGGGGAAGCGGGCGCTCGTCTTGTGTTGGCCATGGCGAGCCAGGGTTTTCCAGTTGTTTTCCCTGAAGCCGAGAAGCCAAAAAGGGAAAGGTGAGAGAAGTGGATGTCATACTTGTGGGTTTCCCTAAACCGAAGAGCCAAGAAAGGGGATACTGCAAAAAGACACGGCCAGTGGAGAGAGCGGCCAGGGGCTTGCTGGCACGCTGGAGCCATGCGTTGGATCTCTTCTTTCAGCAGATCCAGGAGGCCTTCGATCTGTCACGTTGCTGCCACTTTTTGACTCCAGGGGCGGCGGTGGTTCATTCGCCCCAAAAGGAGAACCCCTGGGTTTAAGTCTATGGACCCAATTCGCACGATTCGCACGATTCGCATGGCAGACGCCTGGCACGCTGGATGACTATCGAGCCGCCATCAAGGCATGCCCGCGCGGGGCCCCGGTGTGACTTGACATCTGGCACCGAAGGGCAACCTGGAGCTCGGGCCTGAAACAATGGGACTGGAGCTCGTTTTTGGTGGGGGATCCAAGGGACACTACTGACACAAACATATATTTTCTGGGCTCCCCCCGAAAAAATGAGACACCCCCGGACTCTTCCGGGCAGGCGGTTCTACTGGACCTTGGCCTTGCATATGCTGCAGCAGATGGAGGAGCGGTCCTTGGGACCAGGCCTTCGCGACTTCAGTTCCAAGCCAGCCCTCCCTCATCATCGCGCTCAGATCGTTTGAGCTACCGCGAAGCCATGCGCACCTGCAACCGCGGCTTGTGCCCCAAGCAAAAGCACCGGAGCCTCCGGAGCCTCCGGAGCCTCCGGAGCCCTTGCTCGCGCTTCGAAGCGACAGGTACAGCTACGAGGCGGCCATCCGCCTCTTCCGAGATTTGGGCGCCGGGCGCCCCGGTCGCAGAGACGTTCCGCGGCGACCAGCTGAGCTTAGGCCAAGAACTTGGATCCAGGCGTGGAGGACAACACCTTTTTTCGATGCTCGCGGCGAATTTTTTTCTTTTGTTTGTTTGTGTGCACGCACGGCTGTGGCCTTGTGGAGTTGGATCTGAGACTTGGAAAGCGTGAGAGGAGTACAATGAGTTGATTCTCGCCCTGATCACCGGCAACCGCTGGCTGGAGGTGCGCTCGCGAGTTCGCATGCGACCCGCGAGTGGCTCGCTCGCATGAGTCGCGAGCGTTTGGTCGCTGAGTCAGGCATTCAACACCTTCGCGGAGATGCGAAGGGCCAGGACCTCGGGGTGAGCTTCGTTGCGCCACGTTTGTCTTGTGGACTCCCCGAAAGGGCAACGGCGTCCTTGCGGTTTTCTGGTGGACCCCCAACATGGTGAGCGGGTTTCCCTGTGGTTTTCCCTTTCACACCAACCAAAACGGGGTTCCGCAAAAAAAGACACCGGCCCAGATCCGTGAAAATGGAATCCACTTCCGTTATACAACAAAAAGTGCCTCTCAAAGACTAACCCCCCCATGTAAAGGGGATTCCCTTGCATCACAGAGGTGAGGATAAACCCCTTCATCCCACAACCCTGTATCTCCGCTTTGTCGTGTCTCGTTGAGGGCGAACCAAGCCCCAACATGCAGAGCTACTGCTTGGTGCTCTACGCCTGCGCGGTGCCTCGACCCAGTGACCTGCGAGATTCTTTCAGCCGGCTCCCCTGCATTTCTACTTTTCTTTTTTTTGCAACAAGAATATCATTTTCACAGTTGGCATGTTTTTACGGTTCTTTTCATTGTTAGTAGGGGCCTGCAAAAGAATGCGACTGTGCGCCTTGCTCTCGGCCAGGATTCCGAGGAGGCGCGAATTGGGCCGGATTATTGGGGAAGGGCATTGAGCATGGCATTTGGGAAGCATTGGGCACAGGTCCAGGAGATGTGGCTGTGGGTCAAAACCAATGGTACCATTTTGGGGTAGCTGAATTCACCACACATTTTAGAACTTGTTTTGGTGGGGATTGGGATGTTCACTTGGGGTACGATTTGGATTGTGACCCATGGCCATTTGGCAAGCATGGAGCACGCGTCGAGGAGATGTCGTGAAGTTGGCCTTACCTCTGTTCTGCCGAGGCCGACAATTGGTCGAAGGCTTTGGCCTACTGGACGGATATGCGCAAGGAGGGGGCCATGTGCAAGAGTCCGTTGGCGAGATTGCGGTGATTACGAGAAAGGCGTGGGTCGTAGCCAGGCAAAGCTCACTCCTGGCTTTGATGCCTACGACATGCTGCTTCTAGTCTGGATGCCTGGGTAGATATGCAGTCTTGAATGTTTCGGGTTCACTACGACGAGGTGGCAGAGCGCAGCGAGCGATGGGACTGGTCGCGGCAATTGCTGGAGCCGAGTGCACGACATGCACATGACGAGCTCCCTTTCATTTTTCTGGTTTGAGCTGTTTTTTCTTGCAAAAGAGTTGTGCAGGGTATCCAGTTTCGTTGGTGAGCTGACAGGACACTCTCTTCAAGCTGGATGCGCCTCGCACGGCCGTGGTCGCAGATTTCGTATTGCCAGCTCAGCAAGTCTGCATTGCTGGGGCATCCCTTGCATCCAGCTGGAGCATGCAGCAAAAACTGCCATACAGCTTGTTCTTCTGGGTCGACGGCCACTGCATGTTCTGTATTTCAAAGAGGGACATGCGCCGGGCTCTCCAACTAACCTCCAGGAATCACCGGGAACTACAAAACAAAACAATCATCAACCACGGAGCACATGAATCGCCCAGCTTCCGATTCCCTCAAAGCATGAGCCCGCGTCCGATCACAGCTATTGTAATTGTGGCAGCCTGGCAAGCATAGTGTTGGCCCTCTGGTCTTGGAGAACCATGCTGGCATGAGCTTGTTGTGTGTGATTTTGTGTTTCATCGATGACCTGAGCTCACAACATCGCAGTTTTTCCGGCTCCAGCCCAGAACCTTCCCAAAAACTTCTAAGCTAGAGCAGAGGATAACAACTTGGACCTAGGGATCTCTTACCTAGAATCTAAGCACTCCACCTTGGAGTCACTGCTATTTTGGCTTGCAGACGTCCCGTTGCGGCAATTCGTCTTGTTGCTCATGGTCGATTTGCCGCATGTCTGGATATCTGTGAACAGGTTTTGGGATGTCCTCTTGGTGCCTTCAACGCTAAGGCTATCTATCGTTGGCTTCGTGTAGCCCATTCTCAATTCTGGCTGCTGAGGGGATTTGTTTAAACGCTGGCAAAAAGATGTCTACGAGGGGCTTAAGACATCCATGCTTAACCTTAACATTCGCTCGTTGTATGTGTTTTGTCGTACAAGGCTTTGACCTTGCCCATCCACAGACTTCGGATCAAAACTTCGTAGCTGCCAGACAGCAGACATCGACATCCCAAGGTCACGATGTTCAACGCCGCCCTAAATGCGGCAAGCGTCTTGGCAGCAGCTTGGCATTTCGCAGGATTTTCTCAAGTCCGCCACTTTCGACACGTGCAGGAAGAGGCAAGCGGTGGGAGCTGGCTCAGTCCCTGCTCAGGCGAGGGCTGAGCGCTTCCTCGGCCGGGCGGAAGGGCTATGGGACTTACAGTTCAGGATAACCGCAGGTTTGAGTGTTTACCAAGCCAACCGTTTTTTGTTGTTGTTGTTGTTGTTGTTGTTGTTGTTGTTGTTGTTGTTGTTGTTGTTGTTTGTGTTTTTTGGTGGTTTGAGTGTTTTGCATTTACCAAGCCATTTTTTTAAATTAAATATAGGTAACCTATGTGTTTGAATGACCGGTCCACCGGTTTTTGGAGCTTGCTTCGCACCTGGATCTTGTCTCTCGGGGAATCCGCGGCTTTTCTGCTCAGGGAGATGAGCCAGGAGTTGCTGTTGCCGACCATCGTCAGCTACTCCTTCGCGGTGGCCGCCTGCGAGAAGGTCGCGTGGTTAAGCGAGAGGGAGCTTCCAGAGCTCGGCGAATGGGCCGAGTCGCAACCATTTACCGAAGTCAAGCTGCTGACCGGATGGGCCAAGTCGCTTGTCACTTGAAGTTGCTGAGGGAAGGCAAACATTGCTCCTTGACCAGCATTGTCATCAGGCAAAGTGATGCAACGTTGGCCCAGACACATTGTCAAGGCCAACGTTGCCTCAAATCTTGCCCGATGACAATGCTGGTCAAGGAGCAATGTTTTTGCCGTCCCTCAGTACTGTTAACACCTGAAGAATAAACCTCAGGTTGATTAATAGGGGGGGTGTCCCCTTTTAGTGGGGAGTCAGACCACTTTTGGAGGGAACAGTTCCCCCCTAAAAGTTGGGACGGGTTATTCCTTTCCTGGCTCAACATTAGCAAAACAGCATTCCAGCGACCTCATGGCCTTGGCCTATCCCATGTCCGTTTTTTTATTCCCCCCCCCCCCCCGGCCCCCGGCCCCCGGCCCCGTGAGGCGCAGCGCTTTGACGTGGCCACGGGCATGCTGGAGATGCCGCGGTGCCCAGGTCCGGGGTGCGAGGGAGTGCGAGGCTTGAGGCCGGCTGGGGGCAGAGAAAGGGCGGGGGGTCCGGCCCGGAGCAATGGGTGGGGGGGGTACCAGGAATCCCCGCAAAATGGGGTGGTTTTTAAAGGACCAGGAGAGGGACAGAACCAATTTTGGGGTCTTTTCCTTATTTTTGAGACAAGTCCATGTCATGCTTCGCGATAGCGCTTAAGAGTGCGATCCCGAGCGTTCCGAGGGTGGACGAGTGGGACGCAGCCTAGGCGAGGATCGAGGGAGCGATTCGCCCGACGGAGTCCAAATTGAAGGCATTTGGGTGTGGGTCAATATTAAATCACCAGGAATTGGACCGCAGCTTTTAGTCCATGTTTCTATTTGCCAGGGCAACCCATTTTGGGTACCTATTTTTGACCCACAGCCATTTGTGTTGGAGGTTAAAACCATTTTGTTAGAACTCATTCAGCGGGTCACCCCAGTATTCTCCGATCCCCCAAGGATCTGCCACTCAGACAGGGAGAGATCGTGTTCCAAGTGCGTCCGGCAGACGCCAGAGTTGAATCCATGTTTTATAGCCATGATTTGTAGAAGAGAGTGGAACGGTCATTCCACTTCCCGTATCATTGCATGGGCGTGTCTTTTTTTGGGGAAGCCCTTTTGGTTGGTTTTCACAGGGAAACAAAAGGAACACAGACCATTTTTAGGGGTTTCCTATTGTAAGACACCCACATTTGTTTCAAACTCGGGTTGCCTGAAGCAAGGGTCGATGCCTCGCTGCTTGGGCAAACTGGGCTGAGAAGTGTTTGGCAGAACTTTGCAGGCGTGGCAGATTTGCATGTGTGCCAAGCTTATACTTACAATTGTGGAGAATCTGGGCACCTGGTACCACGACCAGCTAAGCGATCACCCTTTTCTTCTCTGTGAGCTGGACCCCCGTGAGTGAGCGTCGTTCATTTGACTTTGCGAGGAAGCGTTGCATTGCAGCCCCAAAAGCAACACCCACACACACACACACACATCTCGCTGACTGCCCCAGAATGTCCCCACACAGAGGTTTAGGGAGGGCAGCTCAGGACATACCCCGGCTTTTGTGCAACTTTCTGACCGGGACTCATCAACGCTGTTGCTTTAAGGCTGCTTACGGTGGATAAATTGAGGGCTTTAGTGGATCGAAACAAACATGTGAGCCCCAAGGTAGATGCAGGTTGGTAAGGGATAGTCCCAGCCATAAACGGATGCGCCGCCTGTTTCATTCTGCAAAATGGTTCTGGGTAGACCATGTTAAGTACCAATCGGTTTTGAGTACGACTCATGCGACGTGGTAATTCACTTGCCTGCACAGTGCCCAGATGGTCGGCTTGTTCATTCAATCATGTCACACGGACAGCACAAAGGTTCACCGCCGTTTTCCCTTCAATTGTGAGCAGGGGGCCGCATGTCTCGTATTGTTGCCCCTGTTTGAACAAACCCTATCAACTGGGCTTCCTTCTCCCTCTCAGACCGAAACAGGATGCTGTTTCCAATGAATCAATTCCATAGCTGTGACTCACATTTCATTTGGCCCGTGAGTCGTGCAGCGTGAGTCGTGCGGCTTTTCCTTTTGGTGTTCCTGCCGCAGCTTGTGGAATTCAAGAGGGTTGCTCGGGTCTTTGATTCACCGCGCCTGTCGCACGCTGATTTAAGACTGCCCGCCGACCGCGCGTGCCTTTGCTGAAACCAAAGACGCAGTGCGGTGACACATGGCTGTGGGTCAAAACCAACAGTCTATTTTAGTGGGGATTGGGATGTTCACTGGGGGTACGGGATTTTGACTCATGGCCACATTAGCACTTGAACGAACAGGAGTGGCTTGTGAGTGCCTTGTGCGCAGGATTCGTCTCTGCATGGCTGATGCTTCGATTTCGGGGACATGCTTGGTACCAAGGCCAATGTCAACGTTCACAGGCAGCAAGACTCGAGTGCAGCGGAAGGTGGAGGAGGGACAGTGACCTGAGGGCTTCGCACTTGTTGTCTGCGACGCATGACTCACGACCTCCTCCAGCGGTTTGGGTATGGGTCAAAACTATACCACCAAGGGACCGCAGGTTTCAGTCGTTGGTTCCATGTACCAGGGCAACCCATTTTGGGTACCCATTCTTGACTCACTGCCATTTATTTCTGAGCCACGGCTCCTGCCGGAGCGATCAGGAGCTAGTGACGGCCACGCTGGAGGCGAAAGCCACAGCTCCTTGCAAGGCTTTGAAGAGGCGCGTGGCACCTGCAGTGCATCCTTTCCTGTATGTTTTTTTGGGCGAGCTCACCGATTCGGGGGTACGAGCGACAGCCATGATAAAGGCTCTTTACTTGGCCATTTCTTAATTCAGATTCTAGTACTACAGTAAAGTTAAAATTTGCTTTCCACCAAGGCGTGTGTGCCAAAGGGCGAGGAAGAAGCTGGCACACTGGCTGACGCAGGAGGAGTTTGAGAAGGCTGTGGCAACTTGGCAAACATCGCTTTCATCAATTCGCAGATGGCACCGGTGGATTGCCTCCTGAGGTTCTTTTGAAGGAGGCCGGGAAGAGTTTATGTGCACTGTGTGTGGCGCCAAGCCGACCCCCGAGTTCTTGAATTTGGGGTGGACCCATGGGTTGATTCAGCCGAAGTGGAGACATGGAGCATCCCGGAGTGCCCGTCCATCTCCGCCAGGGGCCTGAACTCGAGCGGACACCCACGGTGACGGCTACGGAGATGCCAGAGGCCCCGTTGGCACAAGCACCAGCACAACCAGCCTTCACCCAGCCAGTGTGCCGCTTGACTGCGTTGCAATGAGCGTTCTTGGCCCATTCTGCACGTGCGCATATGTATAATAATATGTGCGTGCGTGTGGCAGAGTTCCTGGCTGTTTGTCTCTCTTTCTCTCGCTCTCTTTCTGTTTCTAGTTCCCTTTTTCTTTTTCTTTCTCTTTCTCTTTCCCTTTCTCTTTCTCTTTTCCTTCCTTGCAATGGCCGGCCAACAGCAGGAACACAAAACGGCAACGGGAGGCCCACAACGAGCCCCGAAACGCACGGAGCCCGCTGTGTTTCGGCCTCGTTCGAGGCCTCCCGTTGCTGTTTTGGGCCAAGCGCAAAACAGGAACCTTGTCCTCGTCCTTGTTCTCCTCGTCCTCTCTTTCAGTCTCTCTCTTTCTCTCTCTTGCTCTCTTGCTTTCTTGCTCTCTCTCGCTCTCTCTCTCTCTCTCTCTCTCTCCCTCCCTCCCTGTCCTGTTTCGAAACAGCTGGAATTTCCATGCAAACCTAGCTACATGCTTCTTTTGTCTCCTTGTTGTATCAGCGCTGGCTTTTTCGCCATCACATATATATATATATATATGTATATATATATACATATATATATGTATGTATATATAAAGATGTTTGCCGAACCCGCTTCTTTTTTGTGGTTCACTTGCAGTTTCGGTGAGCAACTGGCCGCTTCAGGTATGCGAGTCCCCGTGATCTACCTCCCGGTGCCGGTGCCGTGCCTGAGGATCCCAACGGAGTTCCAGGCAAAGGAGCACAAGGCGCGTGCCGAAGCGGCGGGAGGAGAAAACAACTTGGGGCGCGTTGCAGCTGGAAAATAGCAGTTGTTTTTTTCCCCTCCCTGTTGGTTTTAAAGGGACCTCTCACTACTCTGTGGCGCATTTTGCTTGGATGTTCGAACTTTAACTTTCTGCCTTCTTTAATGGGTTTAAAGGTTAGTCACTTTTAGCAGGGGAGCAGAAAGCAGCCGAGTACGCATGTGCATTTGTCTTGTTGGGTCTACGAACATTGGTTGGCCCTTTTGCTTCAGCTTCAACGTCCGTTTGGAGTCGAAGCTGCAATCAGTTCTTTGAATTGTTTTGCCCCGTATGCTAGGCCTCACCAGACACTCCGAGGGCCATGTGGAACCTGCAGCGATGTGAGGCCGGGAGCAGATGAGACGATTTGCAGCTGGATGTGCATTCAAAGTTGTCCAGGTCCGAGCTCCGAAGAAGGATATGAGCTACGAGGCAAGCCTAAGATTTGTGTAACGAACGCGGCTGTTGAATGCATGCGCTCGGTGCTGAGACGACATGACATCAGTTGCTGCGAAAGCTGATAAACGATTGGACATGATGAGGCAAGTGATACTGTACTAGCCAGGCAGGGCCTATGCACAACCTTACAAGCCATTCTGTGGAGGTTGACATGGACACTCCTCGCTGCCAGTACAACTTCACGGGAAGAAGCGAGCAGGCTGGAAGATGAATTGGTTGCAATCTTGGGTCGTCTACACGTTCTTCTTGAACCAGGTGTTTTGGTTTTAGAAAGATATTGGGACAATCACCTGCAAGAACACATATTTGCAGCGGTGGACTTGTGCACGATTGACTCATGGTGCCGTTTCGCATGCTAGCAAAAGTTGCTGCGCAAGCTGACAAACGATTGTGAGGGCCCCACCTTACAAGCCATTCTGTGGAGGTTGATATGGACACTCCTCGCTCCCAGTACAACTTCACAGGCAACTACGAGCAGGCTTGGGGCGTCTATGCGGTTATTCTTTCTTGAACTAGGTCCTTTAAT